CTATTGACCTTACATCATGAAGGGTGGCACAACCAAATATTTTGTAAAAATAGAAGTATATAGCAAGCGCTTATGTATGCTAGTTCAGCCATCAAAGAACACTTTAAAGAAAATTTCCTCCCTTTTCCTCCTAAATTTTCTTTAAATGGGGGTAAGGAGGATTACGAATAGTGAATATGGAGGAAACAAGAGCACAAAGACAACAATTCAAACAAAAAACTACTCAAAAAGATCATGATATAGTAATAGTATCCCTATTTAATCAGTCGTGTATCCAGGAGACATATATGGAAGACAAAGTGTTTAGAAATTAAAAACTTCAAAGATCTCAAGGTTACAATTACCGTGAGATCCAGTGCACAGAAAGCAGCCATAGCTCCTCCCATTGAATGCCCTGTCAACATAATTTTAATATCACCATATAACTCCTTTGCTCTTTCAACAGCACTTAGAATTCCCGGACGTAAAGTTGTGTTGTGATATGCAGTATAAAAACCATGGTGCACCTGAAACAATGTAGAGGCAAATGAACACAATTTGCTCCATAAAGAATCTAGAACGAAGACATAACTCAGAACAAAATGTAGCACACACCATTGCATTATCCATTCCAGGGTAATCTATGTCAAGTTGCTTCCAGTACAAATCTGCAATCCAATTCTGTATGCTGTACCAAACGAATTAACCCACCCAAGGAAATCAGAATATGTCAGAACATTTGGGCTAAGATAGTCAGCGAAGACATATTAACGCACATGAAATAAGCGAATACCCTCCACTCTGAAATAAGAACATGAAATAATCATATTAAGATAGTCGATATTTCAGATATTATCGACTTTTTTATAAGAGGTCCAAGTCTTGAACGATCTTATTACCCTGTCCTGTAGTTAGGTCTTAGACCCAATTATCACTTGCTATGATGTACTAAATATGATAAGCAAATAGCTAATAGAAAACTTCACTCCTGTCATCCATCTCGGTGTTAGAAATGGCTGCAGACCCTCCGCTGTTTGGATGCAAAAGGAATATTTTAAGTTTTGGGAAAATCTAAAAGGACATGTAGTCATGTTTCTAGCCCATAAATGGACATAATTAATGAACTCCAACTGTCAACTTAGAGCAAGGCCCTTTTACTTCACTAAACAGTCTGTATTGAGAGATAAACAACATATCAACATGGAGTAAGAAAATAATGAAACCTGGTTTCTTGAGTGCCTCTAAATGCAATTATAATAGCATTGAGATCCTTTGCTACTCCTACAAATGCCTGCAGCAATTATAAGAAACTGTAAGCAACAATGCCACCATCAAGGGAAGAAATGGAGAAGAATTGGATCAAACAGTTAAAATTGGAATCCAATCCACCGTCCTCATTCCATTATACAGTAAAAACACACCTGGAGGCAGCGTTGGACATCAATAATTAGCTCTATCATTTCAAAACCCTGCTTCAATATAGAAAATTTCTTTGCTTAGACACATAATTGACCATTGCTGTGATACTAGCCAAAAAAGGGGGGGAAAATCATGCATCAATGACCCGCAATTCCATTAGTTCAATCAGCTGAGTATAAAGCGGTCACGCTTGTAAAGTACCTCGGTGAGATCATTACATCTTTCACATGTCCAAGTAAATAATTGTGTTGTATCTGACCAGTAGACCTGCAAGTGCCAAATTTTCCTTCAGATGCATTGTCGGTATGGAATTTCTCAGAATTAAGCCACAAAGTGTCTTAGTAATACAACGTATGCTAAAAGTAAAAGCTACTAGGTATGAATCAATTGTTTTATAAACATAGAGTTGAGCTTCTATATTGGTGCCTAAACTTACTGCTGAAGCATATTCTGCCAATACTCTTGCAAGTGTGTGATTGTACACTGGCAGATGACCCTTGTCCTTGATCTTGACCTTAAGCTCTGATCCAAAAAACAACAAAAGATAAATGAGATTGGAGTTACCACAACAAAGTTAGTCAAAAAGTTCGCATATTTTATGACTCAAGGTTAAGAAAAACACAACACGAGAAAAGAACAGAAACAGCAAAAGATCCCCATTACTAATCTTAGCATTTTAGATTAGTCTTTTCCAAAATCATTTCAGGAAATTTACACTCGTAAAATAGTACGTGCTTGTTGCATACTCATTACACTTGAATGTCCAGTTCCCTTCATTCAAGTGCAGACATTGAAAAACATTATTGAAATCAAGAGCTATCCTCTTCTCATGTAAACCATCCTCATGGCACTCAAGATAGATTTTCACCCGGCAAGAAAAGAATGAACGAAAATTCACGTACTCTCATGATAATGGAAGCACATTACTATATGCAAGGATACCTCCTTGAAGAACTCCATGCTTCAATGTTCTTGTTAAATTCCTAGATTCTCTAGAGGAAAAATCCCTTGCTCATTTAAACAAGCACAACTTCAAGAAATCGCATTCACATTTTCTTCTAACTCAAAGCATAACTCAACATAAATCACGACCTAAACTATGCAATCTATAGCTTCAAATTCTTCCAACAGTCAGTTAACAGCAAAATTACGTAAATAAACTTCCAAAGCATCAACTTTACTAACCAATTAATTACCTCTTCCAGTCGAAGTTGCACATAAAGATATCAAAATTGCCACAGCTAACCACCATTTAGCTGCCATCCTCTGCACAAAACAATAACATAATAATAAAAAAGAAAGACAAGACGTCTCTCAAAACCCCAAAAAAAAAAAAAGAGAATCTTTTACTTGTTTGAAACTGGACAATGTTAAAAAATTAAGATCCATAAGCACTAAAATTAGGGCAAATTCTGCAAGTACAAAATTCTAAATTCAGAAAAAATAAAATCTAAATACCCGCTATAGAGGTTCCTTGACAAAACCCAGAGCTTCAAGATAAGAAAGGACTGGGCTTGCGGTATTCCGGCAACCGTCGACGGGCGAAAACGGCACGGCTCAAGAATAACAAAACGACGACGGGTAAATTGTGATGGAACTTTCAGCAACTTGGCGTTGTGGGAAAAGTTAAAAAAAAAGCGTGGCTAAAAGATGCCGGAATGATTCCAAGTAAAGCGGGTTTTTGAAGCGGTGTCCATAATTATTCTCCTTGTGTCGTCGAATGTTTAACGTCGTCTAGAATATGAGTGGAGGAAACAGATTTTGTGGGGGTCTTGTTTTTGGAAAAATCCAAAATACCTTGACGTGTAAAAGTAAAAGATTGCATATCTGTGTCAAAGGTAACGATGCTGACCCCACTGTACATTATTGTATTTGGAATAGGATTGGATATTCTTTTAAAATTAGGCAACCTACATTCTGACACTCATATTCATTAATCATTTTTGACCCCAAATGATTTTGCCCCAAATTATACATAGAGCCTAGCTTGGATGTTCATTCTTTGGAATGGAACATTCTTTTGAATTCATGAGAGAGCAAAGGAAAGCAAATTCAAGTTTTGGCTTTTCTATTTTCTCTTTTTGGGATATAACTCCTAACGTCCGATAGTTAATACTAATCTAGAGTAAAGTCAAGTTAAATCTCAAATCCTATCTTTCCATAATCCAAAATATTATTTAACAGGAATCGATGATGTCTTTACTCCTCAAATCAACGGGGTTGATTCCATTTTTTTTGAGATTTAATTTATCGTACTCTGCTTGCAGAAGAGTGCGTGAACTGCAAAATCAGTATTAATTATTAGTCAATTTTCTATTTTAGAAAACATTTCTTTCAATTACTTTTGTAGCTACTTTATTTGTAAAGTGAATGTGATACGAACTTTTAACAAGACAGGGGAAAAAAAAGAAAATTGCCGACAAAAAGAATAATTGGTTTTTTTTTTCTTCCAGTCACTACTCTCATTATGGTTTTTGGCTGATAACGGATACCATCATCGCCAAGTTGATCTGGCAGAATATAAAATGTCTGACAAAGAAATACCGGCAACCTCCTCGGTCTCCATGGTTCTAGAAGAAGGTGGAAGAGACAATCAAAGTGCTTCATCACCACAAGTGCAGGGCAGGGCTCGAGACTATCATGAGAAGGATGTCAATCATTCCTCAAACAATTTTCGATACATGTAAGACGGGGACATCGGTACAGAGAAACTAAGTTGGAATACAGCTGGCAAACAAATACAGTGTTATACCAAAAATTATCATCCAGTGGACCAACTTGATGAAACAGGAGTGGGCCAACTTGGAGGCGCAGTAGTAGCGGGAGCGGCCCTTACTATCGAAGGCCCAAGGGGTGTTAAGGAATGGAGGTTAAGTGGGGCTAGTCTTACACCCATAACCAGCTCCAGTATGCCTATTATGGGTGGACATGAGAGTGGTCCAACAGCAGAAACTCCCAAATTAGCTTTAACGGCTATGGAAGAAGTTCGTAGATGGGAGAAGAGGCATTTACATGAGGAGCGTGTTTTCATGCACGAAGGGTGTGACGGAAAGAGAGCAAAGTTGCAGAACGATTCTGACTCCAATGCATTTCAAACGGCGGTGTCTGCAATGTAGCACCGCCGAAGCCAATGATCGCTATGGTTTGGAATTACCAGGAGTTTGGGAACCCTCGTGCAATTCGAGCCCTCAGTAAACTATTGAGGGAACAAGTTCCTAGGTTGGTCTTTCTTTCGGAAATGAAACTTTTAAGAGGGGAAATGGATGCAGTTAGATGACGAGTAGGCTTCGAGAATGGGTTTTCGGTAGACTGTCAGAATAGATGTAGGGGTCTTGCTTTATTATGGAGAGCGGAAGTTGAGCTTTCAGTAGTCAGCTACTCAGTTGGTCATATTGATGCTATGATCAAAGACTCTACGATGGGCAGTATTGGCGTTTCACTGGTTTTTATGAAAATTCGAAATTAAGTCAACGGAAGCACTCATGGCAACTATTGAGACGACTAGCTAGTTTATACTCGTTGCCATGGTTATGTGCCGGCGATTTTAATGAAATCCTATCTTCTGAGGAAAAATGTAGGGTAAAGATAGAACCCAAACCCAGATGGAAGCTTTTCGGGAGGCACTTAGGGATGCCAACTTGTATGATTTAGGTTTTAGAGGTTCTCGATACACGTGGGTGAGAGACAGGAGTCCTACTTATCGGATTTGTGAAAGGTTTGATAGGGCTGTGGCATCCCCTGAGTGGCGCTCGCTCTTCCCAACGACTATAGTACGACATCTTTCCTCTTCTTGGTCAGACCACGCTCCAATCTGCATCTCTATTAAATACACTGTAAGTGCTTTCAACAATAAGAGGAGAAGGAGGGAGACCCGCAAATTTGAGCAGCTATGGTTAGGGGATGAGGAGTGTGAAAGAAAATTGGTTGAAAATTGGCATGGGATGGGTGCAGGAGATCCTGTTGCTTCATTGGTTTCCTGTGCAGAGTAGGCTTTGACTGCTTTACAGTCATGGGGAAGATGGAAGTTTGGAAATTTAAAGGTGCGGATTAAAAAGCTTTCTGACAAGCTTGACACCATTCAATTTAACTCCTCTCATCAAATAACAGAAGAGCTCAATATTAAAAATAAGCTTGACTCACTGTTGGAGCAGGAAGAACTCTATTGGAAGCAACGATCAAGAGTCTCTTGGCTACAAGAAGGTGACCGAAACACTTATTATTTCCATCACAAAGCCAGTTAGCGAAGAATGAGAAATGCTATTGAGAGCCTTCAGTTGAAAAGTGGAGAATGGATAAGCACCGACGAACAGATTGAGGAACATATTTTGGAGTTTTATCACAAACTTTTCTCCTCAGATGGTGCGGAGGTGGAGTTATATGCAAATATTATTGATAAAAAATTAGATGATGAGATGAAATTTGAGCTAATGAAAGAGTTTTCTGACCAAGAGATCATTGATGCGTTGGAACAAACGCACTCGTGGAAAGCACCAGGGCCTGATGGTCTTTATAGCGTTTTTATTAGAGATACTAGGGGATTGCTGGGAAAGAGATGAAGGACATGACTCTCTCAGTTCTTAATGGTGGTGCAAAACTAGGTAAGTTGAATTAGACTAATATAGTGTTAATACCTAAAATGAAAAGCTCTGCTATGATATCTGACTACCACCCTATCAGTTTATGCAATGTTGCATATAAATTGATCGCAAAATTTTTGACAAATCACTTTGAAGCATGTGATGCCACATATTATTAGTGACAATCAAAGTGTCTTTGTTAAAGGACGATTGATTACGGATAATGTAATGGCGGCTATTGAAATGTTCCACTGGTTGAAGCATGGGAGTGAGAGATAAGATAGTTTTTTGGCACTAAAACTTGATATGAGTAAAGCGTATGATCGTATTGAATGGAAGTTTCTTGAATATATGTTACATGCTACAGGTTTTCCTCAACATTGGTGTAATTTAATCATGGAGTGTGTACGCTCTATTTCTTACTCGATTATTATTAATGGTGGTCATACAGATTTTTTTGAGCCGAGGAGAGGATTGTGTCAGGGCGATCCTCTCTCGCCTTATCTCTTTATTTTGTGTGTAGAAGGGCTTTCGTCGCTTATCCCAAAGATGGAGAGGCAGGGCTTATGGAGTGGGATTCAAATGGGAAGAGAGGGTCCTTCAATTACTCATCTTTTGTTTGCAGATGATAGGGTTTGTTTGGATTGGCCTTTATTTTCCTAAATATATTTGCTTGCGTCATCATTACAATTTTCAATACACCTTTTTACCTTCCCAATTACCTTTTTATCTCACATACATCACATCACAAAAAGTAGTACAGTAAAAATATCTCAAATAACTTACAATCCAAACAAATCCTATAGTCTATTTTTTGCTAAAGTAGACAAACGAAGCATCCAAGCTATCATGAAGGTATTGCAGATTTACGAGAAGCATCGGGATAAAAGGTGAATTTTCAAAAATTTCGTCTATGCTGCAGTAGCAACATGTCCCAAGAAATACAAAGACAACTTTCTAGTCTGCTAGGTGTACAAGATGATGATGAGAAAGGGCTTTATTTACCATATATGGTTGGTAGGTCCAAATCTGAGATTTTTCGTCTTGTTAGAGAAAGAGTTTGGAAGAAGCTTAAAGAATGGAAGGAAAAAACTTTGACGCAGGCGGGGAAGAATGTGTTAATCAAGGTAGTAGCCCAGGCTATTCCCACTTATGTGATGTCTTGCTTCAAGCTCCCAAAAAATACTATGCGTTGACATTAAATCTTTAATTCAAAACTTTTGATGGGGGTGAGAAAGGGAACAAAAAGAAGTTGTGTTGGCTGAAATGGAATCATTTATGTAAAATGAAATCTGAAGGAGGATTGGATTTTAGAAGCATGGAGGCATTTAATCTTGCTTTATTAGCAAAACAAGGGCGGAGGATAATTAAAAATCTTGTTTTTTTGGCAGCCAAAGTTTTAAAGGCCAAGTATTTTGCTATGATAGATTTCTTGAACACTAAATTAGGGAGCAATCCGTCTTATCTATGGAGAAGTTTATTGGCAAGAAGAATCTTATTGCAAAGAGGCGTCGTGTGGAGAGTGGGTGATGTTTCAAACATACAGGTTTGGGATGATCTTTGGCTACCCTATCATCCATCATTCTAGGTGTCACAATGCTCGAGGACTCTGTGGCCAGATGCTAGAGTATGTGATTTAATTGACGTCCATTCTGGTGACTGGAAGATGGACTTGCTTTACGCTTTATTCTTGAGTTATGAGGTACAAATTATTCGAAAAATTCCTCGCTCCCCATAGTGGGCAAAGGATGGGATAGTATGGTTCTATAATAAAAATAGGAGTTTTGACGTCTGGTCAGTGTACTATTTGGCAAGAACCTTGCAGAGGCTGGACGAAGATGAGGAGGAGGCATCATCCGACAGTAAGGGAAAGTCTTTCTGGCTTAAAATTTGGAACTTGAACGTTCCTCCAAAGGTCAGAATCTTTGTTTGGCGCGCATGCTTTGATATTTTGCCTACGGGCAAATTTTATCAGATAGGCTTAAGAGATGTGTTATGAGATGCAACTGGTGTGGCTGTGATCAAGAGACTGATAAGCATATATTTTTTGATTGTATTTTTGTTCAGGAAGTTTGGTCGAGTATGGGGATGCTGAAAGCAATTTGCATGCCTGTTGCACCAAACTTTAAGGACTGGTTTGATTGTTTTTTGAAATTCCAAGGTAAAGAGATAGCAAAACTCATTTATGGCAACCATGCGGATGATCTGGAAAAGCAGGAACCAGTCATTATTTGCAGGCAAGGATGGGGATGCAACACCGGTGGGTGAGTATGCTAAGGCATTCTTACAAGAGTATTGGAATATCCACAAGAGGCAAGAAACACGTCGATATAAGGAGCATACCAAATAGGTAGCACCGAATGAGAGTTATCTGAAAATTAACGTGGATGGAGCTTTCTCTGGAGAATCAACTGGAGTCGGTGTAGTGGTGAGGAATCACTTGGATCAAGTGGAGGCTGTAATGACTGCACGGGTCGAAGGAGCTCACAATGCAGAACATGTGAAATGCTTGGCTTTTCTCACTGCTTCTGAGTTTGCAAGAGACTTTGGAATCTCACATTTCTTGCTCGAAGGGGATGCTTTAAATATTGTTCAAAGGATTAACAACAATGAACCTGATTTGTCATTGATAGTAGGGATGACAATTCGGGTCCAAATCAGGTTGGCGGGTCGGGTTCGGGTCAACCCGCCAGAAAATCTGTTGACCCGAACCCGACCCGCCAACCCGTGACAGGTCAGGTATGCTGACCCGAACCCGAAAATTTCAGGTTGACGGGTTGGCGGGTCGACCCGAAATGACCCGAAATTTAATTTTAATTTATTAATTTATCACTGTAATTTCTAATAAAATCAATTTCTCACAAAACTAATTACATAATCAAGTAATAAAAATTTAAATAAGTAATTCCAAACCAAATCTAAAATAAATTAAACACCGTAAAAGTGTTTTATCCCAAACAGAATATAAAATAAATTAAAACAGTATAAAAGTAAAAAATAATATAATATATTATTTGTCCAAATATAATAATTTCAACTTCACACAAATTAAATAAATTCATTTATGATTAAGTAATTAATGCCTTTGAAAAAAAGAATAACTTAGGTTAGTTAGATAAAATTATTTTTATATTTATTAAATTATTTTTAATTCGTAAACGGGTCATATCGGGTCATATCAGGTCACCACGGGTTGACCCGAAATCGACCTGTTTTCTTTTCGGGTTCATCGGGTCCAACCCGATTCTGACCCGAATTCCCAAAACCTCAACCCAAACCCACTAATTTCGTGTTAGGTTCGTATCGTGTTTTCAGGTCGTGTCGAAAATTGCCACCCCTAATTGATAGGTAGCTTAATCCATGGCATCAGAGCTATGCTGCATATTTTTGATTTTGTCAAGATTAGTCATGTGAGGAGGACCAATAATGTCTCGGCCCACATCATATCAAAGTTATCTTTATCTTTTGAGGGAAGTAGAGTTTGGTTTGTAAACTTCGCCAAGTCTGTTACTGGTGCTCCTCTTATAGATTTGCAATGAATGGAGGTTTTTCTCTCAAAAAATTTTTTTTTTGGGTCAGAATGTTCGTGTGGAATCTTTTTGCCAGCTTCTGAGCCCAAAAGATTTGGTCAACCCAGCGAAAGGACCCTTCCTCATGGCAAAAATGCCCAAATGACTGCCCCTTCAAAGTCCAAGCCCACGTCGTGTTCCCCACACCCTACTCCACATAAGCCCATTGGCGGGAAATCCATTTTCACACCCAGTCACGTGGCGGGAAGACGATGACTTTTCAGCCCAAAAAATGCAAAAAGAAAAAAGAAAAAATAATAAAGAAAACGTATTTATTTTAGTAGACTCTTTGCAGTTTATTTCACGTTCTTCACTTTTTCTGTTGCTTCGGCGAAAGGAATCGAGAAAAAGGCAAAGAAAAGAGAAAACCCTTGATTTCCAATGGCTAGAGGTACTCGGGCTATGAAAGAGTCATCTCCGTCATCGTCGTCGTCGTCGTCGGAGGAGGAGCCGCTGTCAAATTCATCGGAAGATGAGGAAGTGGAGCGAGGAGTTAATATTAATGATCAAGTTGAAGAAGAAGAAGATGAGGAGGAGCTCGAAGCCGTTGCGAGAACTGCCGACGATTCCGACGAAGAAGAAAATGATGCTGCCGCTAACGATGGTGGTGGTGAGCCGGACGACGACGACGAGGAGGTAGTTGAATAGTTAATTTGTCTCTTGGTTATTTTGTTAATTTTTATTTGGATTAATTGTCTGTTCATTAGTAGATCTGTAGTGTCTGCTTTGTGGAGAGTATGTGTGGTGGTTAGAGTTTGTTTTCCCAATTTTTTATTTTACGGTTTAGTGGTGGTTGGATATTTTATTCCCTTTGGCTTTTAGTTTGGATTTTGTTTTACGTTTATTTATTTAGTTAATTTTTTTGGTGCATGCATTGAGTTTTTGAGTTGATACAGATAGCTTCTGCATGTGTGTTTGTTAGGGTTTGTTTACTAAAAGTTTTGATGTTAGAGGTGGCATATTGTTGTCTGGAAAGTTTGATCTGTTTGGGGTAGAGTTCGCTGCTTTTTGGTGGATTGTCTTTATATATGACACTTGTGCGCATGCACTGGGTTTTTTAGGAGATATACGTGGCTAAAGTTTATTAGTCGTTTTATGGCTGTTT